TGTCATAGTAGTAGTCGCAACAGTAGTAGTAGTAGTAGTAGTAGTAGTAGTAGTAGTAGTAGTAGTAGCAGTAGCAGTATTAGTATTAGTAGTAGTAGTAGTAGCAGTAGCAGTAGTAGTAGTAGTAGTAGTAGTAGTAGTAGTAGCAGTGATAGTGGTACTAGTAATAGTAGCAGTAGTAGTAGCAGTAGTAGTAGTAGTCATATTAGTAATAATAGGAGAAGCAGCAGTAGTAGTGGAAGTAATGAGAGTAGCAGTAGTAGCAGTCGTCGTAGTAGTATTAGTAGTAGAAAGTTTAAAATTAGTAAGAGTGGTAGCGGTGATGAGAGTAGCAGTGGTAGTACCGACGGGACATACAAGACATGAAATATGTGTGTGGTTTCAAACGTAATTTCGAAAAGGGGCCGCCCCCGACCTGTGAAACTCTTGCAATGTTGAAAACAAATGTGCGCGGCGTTAAGGCGAGAGCCACATGCTTGAAGCGACCCGCCCTCCATCTGTGAAACTGTTGCCAATTCTCAAGCTTCAGGATCATAAATGGTAAGGGTGTTTCAAGCGAAACGCCCGGACCGCCCTTCTGACTGGCCCTGGGGTGTGACTGGGACGAACTAGTTCTAAGGAAAAAGAATGGAAGAGGGGGGAAGGAAACGGAGGAGGAGGGGGGGGAGGAGGATGAGGGAGAGGAGGGGGAGATAGGGCGGAGGCGGAGAAGGGGGAGGAGGAGGAGAGAGGGGGAGGAGGAGAGAGGGAGGGGGAGGACGAGGGGAAGGAGGGGCAGAAGGAGGAGGAGCATGTGGCTGGTCAGGCTGCTTGCCAAAAAAATATGCGGGGCCAGAGCTGGAGCACTATCTGGAAAAAGAGGGACGCCCCCTTCGATCGGTGCAGCTGCCTGCAGAGTCATGCTCGTCTATAGCCATACCGTGTGGGAACTACCCGAACAAACAGATCCCTCCTCCTCCTCCTCCTCGTCCTCCTCCTCGTCCTCCTCCTCGTCCTCCTCCTCCTCATCATCGTCATCATCATCAAAATCGTCATCATCATCATCATCATCATCATCATCATCATCATCATGATCATCATCATCATCATCATCATCATCATCATCATCATCATCATCATCATCATCATGATGATCATCATCATCATCATCATCATCATCATCATCATCATCATCATCATCATCGTCATCGCCATCGTCGTCGTCATCATAATTGTCATCGTCATCATCATCACAATCAGAATTAGCAGCAGCATCATCATCAGCATCGTCATCGTCATCATCATCAGCAGCATCATCATCAGCAGCAGCACCAACATCAGCAACGTTATCGTTGTAACCATCGTGATCACCATCAGTATGATCAGCATCATAATAATCATCATCATCATCGGCATCACCATCATCATCGTCATCAGCATGATCACAGCATCATCGTCACCACCAGCATCATCATCAGCAGCAGCATCATCATCATCATCATCATCATCCTCATCATCATCATAATCATCCTCGTCATCATCATCATCGTCATCATCATCAGCATCAGCAGCAGCATCCTCATCATCATCATCATCGTCATCATCATCATCATCATCATCATCATCATCATCATCATCATCATCATCATCATCATCATCATCATCATCATCATCATCGATTAAGCGTAATCCACCGCCGCTCTACTGTGGAAAATTCCCCTCCCTCTTCCTCCGGAATCCGGGGTCCCCTGCTCGAACCCCCCTCCCCCCCTCCCCTCCCCCGGCAAAACTCCCCCGCCTAACCCCTCCCCCCCCACTCCGGAAACCGGAGTGGGATCACTACCGGTTCGAATCCCCCCCCTCCAGAAAACTGGGGGGGGGTTCGAACCCCCCCAGCCCCCCCCCCACTCGCCACCAGCAAACGACTCCATGTCCCCACCACCGTCCTCACCACCGCCCTCACCGCTGTCCCACCACCACCGAACCCACCACCACTGTCTCACTGTCTCCACTGTTCCCACCACTGTCCCGACTGTCCCCACCAGTGCCCTCACTACTGTCGCACTGTCCCCAGTGTCCCCACCACTGTTCCCACCACGGTCCCATTCTCCCCACTGTCCCCAGTGTCCCCACCACTGTCCAACTGCTCCCACTGTCCCCACCACCGTCCCACTGTCCCCACTGTCCCCGCCGCTGTCCCACTGAGCTGTCCCACAGTTCCCACCACTGTCCCACTGTCCCCACTGTCCCTACCACTGTCCCACTGTACCACTGTCCCAGGGTCCCACCACCATCCTCACCACCGCCCTCACCACTGTCCCCACCACCACCGTCCCCACCACTGTCCTACTGTCCCCACTGTCCCCACTACTGTCCCACTGTCCCCACACCAGTCCCCACCACGGTCACACTGTCCCCACACCACTGTCCCCACCACAACCGTCCCCACCGCGGTCCCAGTGTCCCCACTGTCCCGCTGTCCCCACTGTTCCCACCATTGTCCCCTCTGTCCCCACCAGTGCCCCAACCGGTGTCTCACTGTCCCCACTGTCCCCACCACTGTCCCCACCACGGTCCCACTGTCCCCACACCACTGTCCCCACCACCACCGTCCCCACCACTGTGCCACTGTCCCCACTGTTCCCGCCACTGTCCCACTGTCCCCACTGTCCCAAACTGTCCCCACAACGGTCGCACTGTCCCCACACCACTGTCCCCACCACCGCCGTCCCCACCACTGTCCCACTGTCCCAACTGTCCCCAGCAATGTCCCACTGTCCCCACTGTTCCCACAATTGTCCCCACTGTCCCCACCAGTGCCCCCACCAGTGTCTCACTGTCACCACTGTCCCCACCACTGTCCCCACCACGGCCCCACTCTTCCCATGGCCCCCTCTGTCCCCACTACTGTCCCACTGTCCCCACCGTCCCCACCACTGTCCCACTGTCCCCACTGTCCCCGCCGCTGTCCCACTGAGCTGTTCCACTGTCCCCACTGTTCCCACCACTGTCCCACTCTCCCCACTGTCCCGACCACTCTCGCCACTGTCCCACTGTCCCACTGTCCCGCCTCCGTCCCCACCACCGCTCTCACCACCGTCTCCTCCACTACCGTCCCCACCACTGTCCCCACTGTCCCCACCACTGTCCCACTGTCCCCTCACCGCTGTCCCCACCACCACCGTCCCCACCACTGTCCCACTGTCCCCCGTCCCCACCACTGTCCGACTGTCCCCACCACCACCGTCCCCACCACTATCCCAGTGTCCCCACCACTGTCCCACTGTCCCGATGAGCTTGAATAGTTTGCCAGCGGCGAGGGGGGGGGAGAGGGAGGGGGTCGAACCAGTAGTGACCCCCCCCCCTTTTCATGATGGACTGGGGGGGGGGAACGCGGGGGGGTCGATTCGGTAGTGAACCCCCCCGGTTTTCGAGGGGGGGGGACGGGTACCGCCAGTGACCCCCCCGGTTTTCTGCCAACAGCTGTAGAACACGTTCTTTCCCATCATCAGCATCATCATCATCATCGTCATCATCATAATCATCAGCAGCTGCATCATCAAAGTAATCTTCATCAGCAGCAGCATTATCATCATCACCACCACCACCATCCTCATCATCAGCAGCATCAACATCACCATCATCACCATCAGCATAATCAGCATCATCAGCATCAGCATCATCATCAGCAGCATCAACATCATCAGCAGCATCACCATCATCAGCATCATCAACATCATCATCGTCAGCAGCATCATCACATCATTATCGCCCTCATTATCAGCAGCATCAGCATCAGTATCAGCATCGTCCTTGTTATCGTCATCCTCATAACCATCATCAGCATCCTCACCACGTCGTTATCATAAACGGTTTCATCAGCATCAGTGTCATCAGCATCGTCATGATAAGTCGTCAACATCACAATCATCAACATCATCAGCATCAACATCATCACCATTATCATCGGCAGCAGCATAAACAGCATCGTCATCATCATCATCATCATCATCATCAGCATCATCATTATCATCATACTCGTCAGCATCATCATCATCGTCATCAGTATCATCATCATCATCATCATCAGCATCATCATCAGCATCATCAGCATCATCAGCAGCATCATCAGCATCATCACCATCACCATCACCATCAACATCAACATCATCATCATCATCATCGTCATCATCATCATCATCGTCATCATCATCATCATCATCATCATCATCATCATAATCATCATGATCATCATCGGTACCATCATCATCAGCAGCGCAGCAGCAGCCTCTCTCACATTTATCCTACTCTTCCTCCTCCTCATGATAATTCTCCTCCTCCTCCCCCTCCTCCTCCTCCTCCTCCACCTCCTCCCGCTCATCCTCCTCCTCCTCCTCCTCCTCCTCCTCCTCCTCCTCCTCCTCCTCCTCGTGAACGCCCGTTGTCGAAAGGATGCCACCCTCCGTCGCTGTTAGAGTTGGAATTCGGCTGTAGAGCTGCAGCATGCGAGGGGGCGTCACGCCAGGGCCAGACGTTCAAGAGTGGCAGACCTCAGACTTACAAGCGATACGCTTTGAAATGTATGACCCCTCCACCCGCACAGCTGTAGGAACTTACCACCTTTGCGCTCAACGTAAACTTAGAACTGGCAAGCGATAGCAACATGTTGAACAAAGTGCTCACGTCCACACGTGCAACTGCAAATCAGGCTCTCAAGACGAACAGGCGCGCGACGCTAAGGCGAGAGATACATATTGTGAACCAACCGCCGTCCATCGGTGTAAATGCTGGTAACACTATAAAGACACACGCGCGCGCGGCGCTGCGCCGAGAGACACACTTAGAGAACGGAGCGCCTGCCCTCCGCGCAGCTGAGCCAAACTGTTTCGACAAATGCGCGCAGCGCAGAGGTGAGAACCACGTGGGAGTAGCGCGTCGGCCGCCGCGCGACGGCTGCCTGGCGGGGCGCCGCAGAGCCCAGCTTCTCGCGCGCGCGGCGCGCGCGCACGCGCGCCAGCCCGTCATCTCCACGCCTCGCCAGACGGGTCGGAGAACGGGGATCCCTCTGGGAATGTCAGGTCGTCGAAAGAGATGTACCCACTTCGAGACGCCGGGTCCTTGGACGCCGAGTCGGACGGCGCAGATGGATCAAGCTGCAACGACAAGTCGTCGCTCCAGACCGACGCACCCGCGCCCCAGGCCTGAGCTCCGCCCGGGGTGGCGAACCACAGGTCCAATTCCATCGTGTCCTTGGTGGTCAGCGCGCCCCCGCTGCGCTCGAGCTGCTGCCACAGCGCGCGGCCGTGCGCCCCAATGCCTGCGTCCCGCAGGTACGAGTCCGGAATCATCAGCATGTCGTGCTCGAAACGCATACCGACGGGCCTCTTCTCGATCATGGCCATGGGGCCGGGAGTCGCGTCGCCCTCTCCGCCTATCAGCTGGGCAACTTGCAAGTTCTTCAGCGGCTTCACGTGCTTGACGAGGTCCTTCACGCGGGTGACCCTCTTCAGCAACTCCTGCCTCCTCTGGATCGCGTCCATCCCCCGCTGGTTCAGAAAGTCGCCCAGGCGTGACCTGCCGAAGCCGAGCGACATGGACGCAGGGAGGGCATTCTTCCTCCCTGCCTTGCTGTCTGTAGCGAGCCGGATGTCGCCGGCGATGGTCTCCCGACCAGCCTCGATGTCGGTGGCGTCTGCGACCGCCTCCAGCCTGGCGCCCGCCCGCTCCAGCCAGGTCACCATGGAGGGCATCAGCTTCACGTTCACCACGCCGAGAACTGTCTGGTGCCCCATGTGGGCCAACGCCATGAGCCCACGGACGAGCTGCCTGCTGCGGGCGGACACTGCGGCAGGGTCCTCTAAAACCGTCGACCCGGTCTCCTCTCTCTGCCGCCTCAGCGCCTCCAGCCTCGAGGACAAGACGTCCCCCAGGCACAGAGTCTTGGCCACCGGCCCAGTGCTCGGAAGCTTGGCGAACTCGTTAGCAGCGACTCCGTAAGCGATATTGCTGTACCACTCCTCTAGGGCCTCCCGGTCGCCCTTAACCTGAGCATCCTTAAAGTTCCAGTCCCTGAGACCCCGCGGGTTCCCGGCGGCGTAACCCCGCTGGTAATCGGCCGCGGCCCTCATGTGGTCCTCGGGCATCACCAGGTGCCGCCCAGCGCGCTCCCGGCAAAGCTGCACCAACAGAGCCGATGGAGCGGCCTCGACGACGGCCCGCCCAGCCAGCTGGCGGCTCCGCAGGGACAGCTCCTCGACACCGATGAGCATGATGGCTGCGGGCCTCCCTCCTCGCAGCTCCGAGCCCTCCTCGCCCGCCCAAGAGAACGTCTGGACCACGCGTTGGGTGTCCTGGAGCTCCCTGTTCGCGAAGAACTTCTCGAAAACCTCCATGTACCTCTTATCGGGGTGGTACGCCTTCCACATCTGCGCGTCCATGTTGCGGTACCTGGCCTCGAACTCCTCCCAGCTGTGGGGCGCGCGGGCCGTCTGTGGGCCCGCGGCGTCCAGACTGGACCACGGCACCATCCTGACGTCGGCCTCGCCCTCCGCCCTGACGCTCTTGCCGAAACGGTCCACGGCGAGCTGGAGGGGCTCGGAGGCAAGCACGGCCGGGTCCTTGATGGCCACGCTGATGCCCGGCGAGGCCAGCTTGCGGCCGTCCGTCCACACCTTCTCCTGGCCGACCGGCTTGAAGCCCGCCTGCTGTATCCTGCGACTGCCCCACAGCTGATTTCTGCGCATTTCGGGTCTGTCGTTGTACGGGGTGTCCCTGTTGAGGGGCACAGCGACAGGGAGGGACTGGCCCGGGGGGGAAGGCAGCGCCCTGGAATCGGCGACACGTCGCCGATAGACCAGCGACGGGCCCCCGATGTGGTGGAGAGCGCACGGCTCCTGGGCAGACAGGGGGGGGAGGGCCCGGGCCGCGATCGGCGATGAGTGGGCGACTGAGGGCCGATGCTTCCCCTCCCCCCCCGCGTCTGCCAAGGGGTCTGGCGTCCCAGACTTCTCGAGACGTGGGCCCTCGGACCTCTCGACGACCCCCCTTGCCCGGGGCCGGCCTCGGGTTCCCAAGTCGTCTCCTCACGGTCCAGGAGCCCACAACTGGCCCCCCAGAGGCTGAACATGGAGAAAGACCTGCCGTCTCGATGATTCGGGGGCGATGCCTCCCCCTCAGTTTGGACGCTCGAAATGGGCACGAAGAAAGTGGGTAGGATGCCCAACAGCGGATGTAGTCCAAAGCCGACAGCGGCCGTCGTTGGACAGGCGCCCGCTTGCCTCAGATGAACAACGCACGCCGCGACACCGATAGCGAACCCGTAGCTTGATGACACGGAGCTCAACACTCAGACTGAAAACATCCGTTTGGCACGATACGTTCACCAAGATGTGGGCCAGCACGCTGAGCCAACACGCAACGTATTGACACGGACGTCTTGAGCACGGCACGTGCTGCGTATTATAACGGGCGTACAGAGGCAGCTAAGATTGTCGATCTTCGTGCCTATCCTCCCCGTACCCATTTCGATCGCCCCGACCCCATTGGCCAGCCAACCCCCCCTCTTGCCATCGCTCGGACGTCCACTCCCCGTGCATGGTTCGTTTTTCGTGCGCTTCTCTTCCCCGTCAGGTGAGCCAAGAGGCTCCTCGACTGCCCCCGCCGAGAAAGAACGCACACGCCCCAGCGATGCCAAGCCCTGTTTCTGTGCCCCCGACCTTGTTATCTTCTTCTTGCCGATCCCAGGCCCGCCCCCCGCGCGGGCGACGCCCGGCGCGCGCCCGCGGCCCCCCGATGGGCCCCGCGGCCCCGCGAAGGCCGCCCAGACGGCGCCGCCCGCGCCGCGCTGTTGCCGCACACCCGCCGCCAGCAGCGCGGCCAGCCCCGCGGCGGCGAGCGCCCCAGCCGCGGCGGCGGCGCGCCGAGGACTGCGCTTGCCGCCGGGCCGGGGCGGCGCCATCTTCACCCGCGGGCCGCCGAGCCCCGCCAGGGAAGGGCGGCGCCGCGCCCCCAGAGGGGCCGGAGCGGCTGCGGAGCGCAGAGGGGGGCGTGCCCAAAGATTCAAGGCATTGAAAAAAGCAAGGCGGAGGTTTTTCGCAACTTTCGGCCTCTGGGGGCCCTCGCCGGGCCCCGGGACTGACAAAAGCCGACGCACGATGAAAACCCGGGCCTGGGGAATGGGTCGAGACTTCTGGGGGCCCCGTATTGAAAAATCACGACCTCTAATCTTTGGGGCTCTTCGCAACCTACATCGCTCCTGGGGCTTCGGGCGCAAGGCCCTGGAGGCTCTCCTGGGTCTCTCGTGGCTTCTTGATCGCTCGGCGTTCCGTGCATCCGGGCGGCCAAATGGGGGCAGGGCCATGTGGCTCGCCACAGCTCGCACGCCCATTCCCCGTGCATTTCTTGTTCGATCTCGTGCGTGTGCTCTCGCTGCCCGAAGATGCAGGATGCTCCTCCATGGCCCTCGCCGAGAAAAGGCGCTCACGCCCGAGCCATGCCAACGTGAGGCCGCAGCCCCCCCCGAGGCGCGCGGGGCAAGGGCCCGCCGCGGGGGCCTCCCAGCGCGGGGCCGGCGCCGCCGGGGCCCGCAGGTTGCGCAGGCGCGCCCCCCAGTGCCTCCCCTTCTTGTAAGTAAGACCCCCCCAGAGGAAGGACCGTGGTAACCCCCCCCCAATGGTAAGGTACTCACGCAGGACGAAAGATTTCCCTCTTGAGGTGCAAATGGCCATGAGGAGTTCGCAAGACAACGTCGGCGCCGGAACGGACGGCGACCTGACGAGCTGTCTGCAGCAACCGGGGTGAGAGGGATGTATGTATTCATTTCGAATGGGCCCCGCGCGCGCGGGGAGCTGATGGGTGCGCGCGAGACGACGCAACGCCCATCGTGGAGAGTTAATTACCGAACCCCCCATCCCCCGTAGAATCTTAACACGGGCGGTTTGCGGGGTCCGCGGATCCGATTTCTTGTGGTTCCCTGTATTAATTTAATACTGCAAATTTAAAACAGGGTAGAAATCGGATCCGCCGTGAAAAATAAGACCGAACACGGATCCAGCAAATCCGAAATCGGATCCGCGCGGACAGAAATCGCATCCACCGAAACACACACCAAAACCAAAATTGGATCCGCGCGACCTTCATTGGATCCGACGGCGGGTATCTCACAAGCGTCTGCAACAGATTTCAAACCTTCGTTCCGGGCCCAAGAGGGAAAAACTTTCGTCCTGGGGATGAGCGTTTTGGCCTTCGGACACGTTGGTTGCTACGTGGTCCACGCACCACACATCACCACAAATTCCCCGCAACGTTCCTGCTCGAGACGTCCTCGCAACACTCGGAAGAAGACTCCCACCCGTTGATTCGAGTTCTCGTTCGGGACGTCCTCGCGAAAGCTTGCGTTTCGGATTCGGAGTCGTGGTGGGCCACGCCGGAGCCCGCAAACCAGGGGAAGGCCTCCTTCTTTTCTGGCGTTGCGCTGGCCTCCAGATCGCGCAGGGGTGTGCCATAGCAGGAGCCTTTCCTGCCCACGATCTTTTACGCGTAAGAGGCGGACAGGAGAACGAGGAGGAGGGAGGAGGTTGAGGAGGTGGAGGAGGTGGGGCTCCCGCCTGAGACGTCCACGCAAACAAAAAGAAAGTCCCCTTGCGCTCGCAGTCGCGCTCGGCCGTGCCAGGGCCTGGCATGCAAGCACATATTCCCTTGTCTACGATCTATGTCTGGGACTCGTCGTCGTGATGGGCCGTGCTGGAACCCGCTGGACAGGGGGCGCCCCCCTGGTCGACGATCTTTCCCACGGAGGGGGGGCAACAACAGGATACGTTGGGAGAGAGGAAGGGAGGGAGGGGGA